CTCGACTTACATGCGCGGTGTCCGTTACGTCCAGGTCCCTACGACCCTCCTCGCCATGGTGGATTCGTCGATTGGAGGCAAGACCGCGATCGACACCCCGCTCGGGAAGAACCTGATCGGTGCCATCTGGCAGCCGACGAGGATCTTCATCGATCTGGATTTCCTGGAAACGCTCCCCGTGCGCGAATTTATCAACGGTATGGCGGAGGTCATCAAGACGGCCGCCATCTCGAGTGAGGAGGAATTCACCGCTCTGGAAGACAATGCGGAGACCATCTTGACCGCGGTCCGTCGCGTGGTCCAGCCCGGTCAGCGCCGCTTCGAGGGCATTGAAGAGATCCTCAAGGCGCGCATCCTGGCGTCTGCCCGCCACAAGGCCAACGTGGTGTCGGCCGACGAGCGTGAGGGTGGACTGCGCAACCTCCTGAACTGGGGCCACTCCATCGGGCACGCCATCGAGGCGATTCTCACCCCGCAGATCCTTCACGGTGAATGTGTCGCGATCGGCATGGTCAAGGAGGCAGAATTGGCCCGCCACTTGGGCCTCCTGAAGGGGGTGGCGGTCGCCCGCATTGTCAAGTGTATCGCCGCCTATGGCTTGCCGACTACCGTGAAGGACGCGCGGATCCGGAAGCTGACGGCCGGCAAGCATTGCTCCGTCGACCAGGTCCTGTTCAACATGGCGCTGGATAAGAAGAATGACGGCCCGAAGAAGAAGATCGTCCTGCTGTCGGCGATCGGCCGTCCGTACGAGCCCAAGGCGAGCGTGGTGCCGAACGAGGACATCAGCGTCGTCATGGCTCCGAGCATCGAGGTGTTCCCCGGCGTCGCCCAGTCGTCCAGTGTTGTCTGCGCACCCCCGGGCTCCAAGAGCATCTCCAACCGCGCCCTGGTCCTGGCGGCGCTGGGATCGGGCACCTGCCGCGTCAAGAACCTCCTGCACTCCGACGACACCGAAGTCATGCTCAACGCCCTGGAGCGGATTGGTGCCGCGACGTTCTCGTGGGAAGAGGAGGGCGAGGTCCTGGTGGTGAACGGCAAGGGCGGAGACCTCCAGGCCAGCCCCGAGGAACTCTACCTGGGCAACGCCGGCACCGCGTCCCGGTTCCTCACCACCGTCGCCACGCTGGCCACGCCGACCAGTGTCGATTCGAGCGTCCTCACGGGCAACAACCGCATGAAGCAGCGGCCGATCGGCGACCTGGTGGATGCCCTGACTGCCAACGGGGCCTCGGTCGAGTATATGGAGAAGAAGGGCAGTCTGCCTCTGCGGATTGCGGCCTCCGGGGGTTTTGCGGGCGGCCAGATCAACCTCGCGGCCAAGGTCTCCTCGCAGTACGTGTCTTCCTTGCTCATGTGCGCGCCCTACGCCAAGGAGCCGGTCACCTTGCGGTTGGTGGGCGGGAAGCCCATCTCGCAGCCGTACATTGACATGACCACGGCGATGATGCGGTCGTTCGGGATCGACGTCCAGAAGTCGACGACTGAGGAGCACACCTACCACATCCCTCAGGGTCGCTATGTCAACCCCGCGGAGTACATGGTCGAGAGCGATGCCAGTTCCGCCACCTACCCCCTGGCGATTGCCGCCATCACCGGCACGAAGTGCACCGTGCCCAACATCGGGTCCAAGTCCCTGCAGGGCGATGCGCGGTTCGCCGTCGACGTCCTGGCGCCCATGGGCTGCACTGTCGAGCAGACCGACAACTCTACCACCGTGACGGGAGTGGCCGGTGGCGCTCTGCGCCCCCTGCCCAACGTGGATATGGAGCCGATGACCGACGCGTTCCTCACGGCCTCGGTGCTCGCCGCCGTGGCCCGTGGTGACGGTGCGAACCACACCACCCGCATCTACGGTATCGCCAACCAGCGGGTGAAGGAATGCAACCGAATCAAGGCCATGAAGGACGAGCTCGCCAAGTTCGGTGTCGTCTGCCGGGAACACGACGACGGCCTCGAGATTGACGGGATCGATCGGACGACTCTCCGGCAGCCGTCTGGCGGAGTGTACTGCTACGATGATCACCGCGTGGCCTTCAGCTTCAGCGTGCTGTCGCTCGTGGCGCCCCAGAGCACTCTGATCCTGGAGAAGGAGTGCGTCGGCAAGACCTGGCCCGGCTGGTGGGACACGCTGCGGCAGCTGTTCTCGGTCAAGCTGGCCGGCCGCGAGTTGAAGGAGGAAGAGTCCGAAGTGGAAAGCGGTACCAACAAGGACAGCGCGTCCGTGTTCATCATCGGCATGCGTGGGGCGGGCAAGACCACCGCCGGCCACTGGGTCGGAAAGTCGCTGAACCGGGAATTCATCGACCTCGACACCGAGCTCGAAAGCAACGAGGGCCTAGCCATCCCTGAGATCATCAAGCAGCGTGGCTGGCAAGGCTTCCGGGACGCCGAGCTGAACCTGCTGCAGACGACCATGAAGGAGCGGTCCACCGGCTACGTCTTCGCCTGCGGCGGCGGTGTGGTCGAGATGCCCGAGGCCAGAAAGCTGCTCGCCGATTACCACAAGAACAAGGGGAATGTCCTGCTGATCATGCGGGACATCCGCCAGGTCATGGACTTCCTGTCGATTGACAAGACGCGCCCGGCCTACGTCGAGGACATGATGGGCGTGTGGCTGCGCCGGAAGCCGTGGTTCCAGGAATGCAGCAACATCCAGTACTACAGCCAGCACGCGAGCGCCGGCGGACTGGCTCTGGCGTCCGAGGATTTCGCGCGCTTCCTGAAAGTGGTCACCGGCCAGGTGGACCACCTCAGCGCCCTCAAGAGCAAGCCTCAGTCGTTCTTCGTGTCGCTGACCTTGCCCGATCTGCGCCCGGCGAGCAATATCCTGGAGGAGGTGTGCGTGGGGTCCGATGCGGTGGAGCTGCGGGTCGATTTGCTCAAGGACCCGTCGTCGGACGGCGACATCCCCTCGGTCGACTACGTCGCCGATCAGATGTCCTTCCTCCGCAGCCACACGGCTCTGCCGCTGATCTTCACGATCCGGACCAAGAGCCAGGGCGGTCGGTTCCCGGATGAGGCCCACGAGGCTGCCATGGACCTGTACCGTCTGGCGGTGCGATCGGGGTGCGAGTTTGTGGACCTCGAGATCACCTTCCCCGACGAGATGCTGCGGGCCGTGACGGAGATGAAGGGACACTCCAAGATCATCGCGTCGCACCACGACCCCAAGGGCGAACTGGCGTGGGGCAACATGTCGTGGATGAAGTACTACAACCGGGCTCTCGAGTACGGCGACGTGATCAAGCTGGTCGGCGTGGCGCAGACGCTAGACGACAACACGGCGCTGCGGAAGTTCAAGACCTGGGCTGAAGAAGCGTACGAGACGCCGATGATCGGAATCAACATGGGCGACAACGGACAGCTGAGCCGCATCCTCAACGGCTTCATGACGCCCGTCTCCCACCCCAGCCTGCCGTTCAAGGCCGCGCCGGGCCAGCTGTCGGCGGCCGAGATCCGCCGCGGCCTGTCGCTCTTGGGCGAGATCAAGGCGAAGAAATTCGCCATCTTCGGCAACCCGGTCTCGGCATCCCGCTCGCCCGCCCTCCACAACACGCTCTTCCAGCAGAGCGGGCTCCCGCACGAGTACACTCGCCTGGAAACCGACCGAGTCGCCGACGTGCGGGACTTCATCCGGTCGCCGGACTTCGGCGGCGCATCGGTGACGATCCCGCTCAAGCTAGACATCATGCCCCTGCTAGACGAGATCGCGCCGGAGGCAGAAGTCATCGGCGCCGTGAACACCATCGTTCCGACCAACGGACGACTCATCGGATACAACACCGACTGGCAGGGCATGACGCGGTCGCTGCGCAACGTCGGCATCTACGGGGCCAACGGCGACGACAGCGCGATCGTCATCGGCGGCGGCGGGACAGCGCGGGCAGCCATCCACGCGCTCCACCAGATGGGCTACTCGCCCATCTACGTCGTGGGGCGGTCCGCCGCCAAGCTGCAGGGGATGGTGGCGACATTCCCCACCAGCTACAACATCCGGGTGGTGGAGAACAACGAGCGGCTCGAGACGGTGCCCCGCGTCGCGGTGGGGACCATCCCGGCGGACAAGCCGATCGACCCGGCGATGCGGGAGGCGCTGTGCCACATGTTCGAGGACGCGCAGAAGCTAGACGCGGCCGTCATGAACCAGGGCCAGAAGGCGCCGCGGGTGCTGCTGGAGATGGCTTACAAGCCGGCTGTGACGGCGCTGATGCAGCTGGCGAGTGATGCGGGGTGGACGACGATTCCGGGGTTGGAGGTGTTGGTCGGACAGGGTGTTTATCAGGTATTTCTTTCCCTTTTTCCCTTTTTTTTTATATTTTCCCCTGTGCTCTACCCTATTTTACACAGATCACTAACAATCACAGTTCCAACACTGGACGGGGATCTCGCCTGTGTACGAGGATGCGCGCGCGGCGGTGATCGGGTCGTCATGAGGATGACATACATGCATGATTCAACAAAAGCGTATATCTAGATGACTAGATTAGTGGTTAGAGTATATTGATATGACTCTTAGTATAATGAGTGGATATAGTAGAGTAGGTAGTGTAGTAGAGTAGGTAGTGTAGTAGAGTAGGTAGTAGAGTAATCCACCCCCGAAAGACTAAAATAGATAGAAAAAAAGTCGGTATCAGAATACAGAATCAAATACAACTAGCATAAATCTCCACCTACACTACTAACTAGGCAGGACATAGAAAATACTTAGGTAGAAGATAGTCCATCCATGAAGTCTCAGACAAAGTAAGAAAGGAAGTAAAAAAGGGAGAAATGATTGGGCATCGATAGAAGGGGGTCTAGACTCCGACCGGAGAAATCCATCAATAGAAACTAACCAAAGGACTAGTTTAGCAAAGTCTAGACCTTTGATTTTTTTGAGTTTGGTCAGCCGATAGGAAAATCTTTTCATCTTTTCCTATACACTTATACAGATATGAATGGATAAATGGATGCATCGAATGGAATGGAATAGATTATGCATAATCCTATGGAATAGAATGGAGTTATTTGTGCTGGTTATCCGCATGACTCACTAACTACAGCCTCGAGACCAGAACTGGAAGAAGCGCTTACTAGATACCGGGATGGTTTGTAGGACCGAGGTCATCGGTTGTTTGTTGACTTGGGTAGGTAGTAATACCTAGTCGGACTGTAGTAGTCCAGAGTAGCATGTAGTAGCATGTAGTATAGGAAAGCAGAAGTAAGCTGACAGCCATGAACAGAATAGGAAACATCCACGCCGAAAACCAGACAGACGTTGTCTCAAGGTTGTCGCTTATCTGGAACATTTGATCCAGAAGATATTTTTACCCGACGTTGACACTAGTGCGGATACTGAGACAGTCTACAGTGACTACTACTAGTGACTACTGACTGGCACGAGGATATCAGTATCAAGGCTAGTGTTAGCTAGCTTACTGGGTAGTCCCTAGTGGCCTAAACTGACTGGGTAGTATTGACGGATGCAAGGCTGAGAAAGAGTCAGATGGATGGATGTTTCTCCCCGGGCGCAAATGCAACTGCCGTTGTTGCCGACCGAGGATCGACCGGGCCGATCTGTACATCTGTACAGTGCACAGTGCACAGTGCACAGTTAATGTACATAGGACAGTACATACTATTCCGTCATTCTACATATTTTCATTCCGGTCGCAGGATATGACGACGACATCCTGCAATATTATCTACATAATAATAATAAGTACAGTACACATAGATACTACAGTCGAAGTGGTGAAATAATGAAAATTAAGATCAAGTATAAAGTAGGTATAACAAAGAATACTACCCCGCGGAGATCAAAGCAAGTCAAGCCCTCGCTTAGCCTCGCTCATCTCACAAGACCACCAAAAGTCAACCCGGAACTCGGAAAAGGGGACAGTCACACCGAACATGCAAGCCGATCGAACTAGAACGCTGCATGGAAAAAACTCTTCCTTTCTAGCGCGGGACACCCCCTTCGGCCAGCAGTTGCTGCCCATGCGGCCCCCTTCATGCAGGCTTTTATGCAGGTGGTGGCCCGATCGGGGTTAGTGCTATACAGACCCAAAATTAGAAAGATTCTGGAATGTTTCCTTCTTCTATCGGGATCGGGGTGTCCGTTTATTTTTTTCAGGCTTTTTTTCACTGAGTTTTAGTGACTTTTTTTATTGACTTACTTTGTATTTTATTTTTTAGTTCCTTGAACCTACAGACTCGTACCCATCGTATTCAACTGTATGCAGAACTGTCCCTCGATCGAAGCGAATTCCCTTCCGCTGTGGCTGTGCACTCAACCCTTCTCGAAGGTGCGTGCGCGTTCTTATGGTCAACAGTGTACTCCGTACATATTAAATTTCCAAATAATGCATAATATCTATTCTTCTTTTGAATTGTTGTATCATACATTCTATCATATTATCATTATCTACGCATTATCATATCATTATTAATATTATTAATATTACAAATGCTGTATTCAGCTTCTGTCTATCTGTAAGGTAGTAAGTAGAACCAATCCACTGGTTAGAGTGCTGACCTTCATCCCAACCCCTGTAAAATCCTCCCACCAATGAAAAATTTTACAACCGGCTGTCCAGGCAGGATACCGGCTGTCCGTAACCGTCGTGAATCCTCCGATTTCCGCTCAAAAAGATTCTAGATGTGTCTGGGGGATTTCAGCTTAGATTTTTCCCCTCGGTAATGGATAGTATGGCACTTGTAGATACTAGAGGGACTAGGGTAGACTAGGAGTGGTACCGTCCGATCTCCCTCCCAGCTTTCAACATTGAATATCATTATCCACTTAGACCCTTCCCCGCTTAGTTAGTTGGGAACTTAGTAAACTAGGTAACTAGGGACGAAGTAGGTATCTCGTAGGAAGGCAATCCCGCCAATGATACTGAGGCTGAACCCAGACAGTCCAACTGTCATGGTGTGTGGGACTGTGAAAACAAATAAAATGGTAAAATAATAAAATAATAAAATAAAATAAATAATAAAACAAATAAAATAACGAAAGGAAAAACCAGTCTGGGTCCGCCCTGACTCCCCGGTGACTCACTCCCCAACTGACGACTGACAATGACAACTGACTGACAGACGTCAAGTTTCCCACGGGAAAGGTAACTCAGGTACCAAGTCAGAACCTGGCAGCTCTCGCCACTGGTTTCAGCTGTCGTCTTCATGTTCCAGCCAGTTCACGTTGTGGCAGTGGGTCTGAGTTCCAGGTTGGGTCCGGGGCACTGGAGATCCTACCCTCACAGTGGGATGGTATTATCCGGTTGGTGGGCATGTCCGAGAGGCTCTTCAGGTTCTATACCTACCTACCTACCTACCTACCTACCTAGTCTCTTAGGTACTAGGTATGCTGCTGAGCATAATCATAATGATACTGCCTAATACCGAGTCCCACCTGTCGACCTAGACTGAGCTAACGTTGACAGTAGGTAACTAAGATCGACATAGTTTATCTGCGCTATGATTTGTGCATGGGTCAAGACTGCCACGAGTTTTTTCTTTTCTCTTTTCTCTCTTGTATTTGATATTTGATATTTTGTATGATTTATTTATTATTTTATATACATGTTATTGTATTGCATTTTCAGGCTACGATACACGTGAAAGAACTCGACCCTGTCTCTTCCCCAAACAAACAACCAAGCGAACCAACCAGTCAGTAGTGAGACCGACTCAAAGGTCATGTGCCAAAAGATAGGGTCGTATCCAGACACTTCCATCCAGTACCTGAGACCAAAAGACAGTTTGTCATGCCATGGACGAGTCAGCTGGCGCATGGCATGGCATGGCATGGCATGGCATGGCAGAACTTACCTAGTATTACCGGCCGGAGTCGAAGATACTGAAAAAGTAATACTACGGCCGAAGAGGCCCAGTTCGGTAACGATTCGGAGCTCGGACCCGTTCCGGCCGTACGTATGGTACCGTATTGCAGCAGCCCGACCGGCCGAATCATGGCCGGAACGAAACAAGTCAGAACTTTCACCAGATGTAAGTATTCGGCCGATGAAGGGCTTGGGTTTCGGTGATACTATAGATAACAACAGCTAACAGGAAAAACTAGACCTGAAAAAAACTTGTTGGGAAAAGAAAAACAAAATCGAAAATGAAAATGAAAATGAAAATGATAAAAACTGGATGGGAGAATGCCGTCGACTGGGACAGAAATGACAAAGCAGGGTAATCATGATGAAATCATTACTACCGGGGAACTCCGTCAATAAAAATAATCCAGATGGATGGGGTATGGGTGAGTCAGCACAATGAATGGCAGTCGCTCACTCCGGGCTCTAGCCACGTTTGCTTGTGGCTCAGCAGGGTTCTGAAAGGTAAGGTGAAAGCCGAGGAGATGGATCTTGCTTTCTGTGGCTGATGGGGGAGGAGATGATCTACCCGCGTTTTCCTGACTCCACTCATCACCAGTGGGAGAAAGAAGAAGGAGGGAAAATACTGTGGTGTGACCTCACTTATGCATGTTGGGACTGTAAGGGTCCGCCTTTTATTTTCTTTTGATTTCCTTGAATAGTCTTTTACACGAGATCGGACGGGATCTCTCCATGGGCTTGGGAATGTGGCTGAGTCTATGGAGAAGGAGACGTATGATTGGCAGCCCTAGTACGGAGTACATCTTAGTCTGTAGATACCTTAGTACGGAGTCGATACCTGAGTAGTAAGGTAGTCCATAGTCATAGTCATAGTAGTCATCTTTCTATTGGAGTCCATTACAATCCATGAATCATAGTAATCATAGCCTGAGTACTAACTGTCTCGATCTGAAGCACGACAGCTCAACTACACTTGAGACCAATACGAGTCCTATGATGTCTACTAGACATGACTGACTCATCCAGACTGGTGATTTCTAATGTTGAATGTCAATGTCAATGTCAATGTCAATGTCAATGCTAATGCTATTATAAGCGATGATCGAAACTGGTCTAGCCCGTTATCCACCCGAGTTATCCACCGAATTATCCACCCACTCCCCAGATAGCCTAGACTAATCCCGATCCGGTTAGACCGCAGATCTTCAGTGGTCAAAATTACCAGCAGCAGGGAAGACCCCGTATCATCCTGTATCCTGCTGTAATGATTCTGAAAATATCAATCCAATAATAAATAATAATAATAAGGAAATCAACGTCATCGTGCCATAGTTAAAAAGACCCCAATCTCCCTCTACTGCTTCTTCTTCCTCCCCCTCCATTGTCTTTCCCATCTCTCACTCTTATCTTTCATTCTTAAACTCTTTCAATCCTCTGATCCACTTGTCTCATCGCTGATCTTCCTCTCCCATTGTCCTCTGATCCATCTATCAATCTCTCTCCTGCCCCCACTCCGATTCTACCCTCTATATAGTAAGTCGCGATCCCCCTATACTTCATACTTCTCCCCAGATCAGAAAGCCTAAAAGAAAAACCGGATCCAAGTTACCTGTTCTTTGGGTCCATCCATTCCATCTGTTCTTCTCTACCAGACTTTCTACACACGCTTCTCTTTCAACCCTTTCCATTGCCTTCGTTTCCTTGGTCCTGGGGCTGACCGACGAATCATCCACTATAGATCCCTCCCTCCTCTCACTTGATTGGATTTACCTCCGTCAGACTCTTCCAGTGACTTCGACTGCCTTCATCTTCCTTGGGACTCCGATCAATTTCCGTCTGCTTCGTCAAACCTAAGTGAAAACTTGATCGCACGCGAGATCTCGGGTCTTTAGGCCCCCCCCCCCAAACCTTCGTCAACCGTTTTTCGGTCCTCCTATTTAAACTTCTCCATACTTCTCGGGACAGGCTCCACGCGGCGTCATCCGTCTTTGGACGCCCGATTTCTTAAGAGAGGACATTATGTTCATGCACCCTTTTGGACGCAAAGTTCCCTTCCTCAACAACCAAGACCCCGTCTGTATCCAGGACGATCAGTTACTCCCCGAGTTTCCCCACGAGATCCCTTCACAGTACGTGGAACCGCAACCGCAACCGCATCAGCTCGAGTCGCCCTTCCAGTATAATCCGGATCTGCAATTCGTCTCTCCGCCCTCCTCCGCTCCCTCCTCGCCCGACTCCTCGCCCACCTCCTCCTTCTCCTACCTTCCCAACTCCACGGCGGTCGCGGGGGATTACACGCCCGCCGGGTTCGACGGCAACTGCTTCGAGGCTCCCTCCATGACACCCGCACCCTCCTACGATCTCTCCTTTCAGTTTCCATCCTCCGGCTCCCCCTCCCAGTCTTACCTCCCCCAGTACCCGCAGCAGTACCTCTTTGACAACAACCCCATGTTGACGCAACAACCGGTGGCGAACAACCCGGGTTGGGACGGGAACATGCAGCTTCTCAGTCCCGCTCGCATGCACCAACAACAACAACAACAACAACAACAACAACAACAACAACAACACAACAATAACAACCACAACGTCGCTCGCACGCCGCAGCACTCGCACTCCCAAAACTCTCACTCCCGCGCCACGTCGGCCACGCGGCAGGCCCCCGCGGGCAGTTCCTATCAGCGGTCCAAGCCCTTGCCGACGCCCGCCCAGACGCCCGTCCAGAACTCCTTTCTGGCGCCCCAGTTCCAAAACTACGATCCCTCGTCCTTTGACGTGAGCGCCAATCACGCCGGGCTGGCCATGCGTCAGGCCGCGATCGACCACCACCAACAGCAGCAGCAGCACAAACCTCAACAGCAGGTCCACCACCAGCACCAGTCCAGTGACCACTCGCTGGCCCCCTCGGTCTCGAGTGTGAGTCATAACTCCCCGGTGACTCCGCAGACCAAGTTGGAGGAGCTGGATGACTCGTCCAAGGCGCTTGTCAATGGTGAGACCGATCCGTCCCCCGATATAGATCATTGGATGAATGAGTACTTACGAGCCGACGCACTTTCAGACTACGCGAACCCCAACAGCGGCAGCATGCCCGTGGGCGTCCCCAAGCTCAACCGCACCATCTCCGATGTCTACCAGGACGAGCTGTACAATCCGGCCCTCATGGTCACCCCCCAGGTGTCCAAGCAGCTGGCCGGCCAGCAGAACCTGCTGACCCCGCAATACCGCAATGTCTTCGCCGATCGCCTGCAGGCCGCCAACCAGGATCACCTCACCTCGCGGTCGCAGTCCCCCGTCGGCAGCGTCAAGCGGGAGAACTCCCCCTTCCGCCAGAACTCGCCCTACTCCACCGAGTTCAACACGTCCGGTCTCCCGCGCTCCCAGATGACCACCAGCGTCCCCGTACCCCAGACCGGCCTGGCCGTCGGCCAGGGCGTTGCGGAGCCCAAGACCATGTCGCCCAAGGATGCCCTGCTGGATTTCCACGAGCCTGACGATGCGGGATTGCCGCTCTTCCCCGCGGCCACCCAGTCCAGCTTCACCCCCTCCACTCAGGCCGACTTCAGCTCCTCCACCCAGGCCGACTTCAACCCCTCCACCCAGGCCGATTTCAACCTGGGCGATGCCCTAGGACTCCGGCGGGAGAGCTCCGGCTCCTTCCAGCCGTCCCAGAGCTTCACCTCCATGGAGTCTTTCCCCACGCAGTACGCGACGCAGCCGGCCACCCCGCAGTATTCCTTCGTGCAGCAGCAGCAACCGCAGCAGGCGCAGCAGGGTGCGCCCCAGCCGCCCCAGGCCCAGCTGCCGTCCCACCCCCCGTCGACGCAACCCCAGCCCCAGGACGTCCTGCAGCAGACCCCCAACTTCCCCGCGTCGCTGCCGACCTTCGAGACGACGCAGTTCGAGCCGACCGGCAACGACGTGCTGCCCAGCACGGAGACGCCCGAGCAGATGATGATGATCCACGAGGACATCCCGCGCCCGGCCAACACGTCGGCGGACAGCGGCACGTACACCTGCACCTACCACGGGTGCACGATGCGATTCCCGACGCCCGCCAAACTACAGAAGCACAAGCGGGAGGCCCACCGGCAGACTACGCCCGGCGGCCACCTCGTGGGGCGCGACAGCGCCTCGCGCAACTCGCAGGCCGGCCCCCACAAGTGCGAGCGGATCAACCCGTCGACCGGAAAGCCGTGCAACTCGATCTTCTCGCGGCCCTACGATCTCACGCGCCACGAGGATACGATCCACAACGCGCGCAAGCAAAAGGTCCGCTGTCATCTCTGCACGGAGGAGAAAACCTTCTCCCGCAACGACGCGCTCACGCGGCACATGCGGGTGGTGCATCCCGAAGTCGATTGGCCAGGCAAGCAGCGACGACGCGGTCGGGAGTGAGCCCACACGCCCCAACAAATACAAGAGTATTGTCTTACCGGGCGTATTGTCCTACCACCTGGGGTTCCAGGATTGGGGTTCCCCCCCCCCCGTTCCACCACATCGAAACGTCTGCATGAGTCAGGAATGACGATGAAAAGCCTCTGACGTCATGGGATATCCGAAGTGGGTCGCAGACCCACTCCGGGGGACCGGATCGTTGGTCACCGCTTCCGTTTCAGACAGGGAGCCTGAGGGCCTGACGGATATCGAGCAGCCCAGATGACATCATGCGACTCCATCGG